AAAAAAAAAAAAAATGATTTTCAAAGGGATACACTACCTTCCAGTATTTGAAAACTTGATTAAATCGACAGGCGTTCTTTGCAACCTGAGACGAGCTGCAATCCTAGGCTTGGTCGGTTCAGTGAACGTAACGAACATCACTTCGCCTTTCTCCGTTCCGAAAACGACTAACGGGAAGTCCGGATGCGAAACTTGACAAACAATTTCACCGTCCGTTTCCAGATCGACGGAAGCTATCGGTTCCCCTTCGTAACACTCGACGACGATCAACTCTTTCTTCGTGTCGCAAATAACGACGAGATGATGGCACCACGGGTAAATAAAGTCCGCGTAGCGATAAGTGGCGCCATAGTCGATGTACCTGAGTACTCGAGGAGTTTCGCTCTTCTCGATGAAATCGATCTGCATTAAATAACCCTCTAACGTGTAGTAGAAGAATCGATGATTGTCAGACGGATGGATCACCAGAATGTACGGCTTTGTCTCCGACTTCACGTACCATTCCATTCGCCACGAGCTTGTTCTTTGACTTCTCGAGAAGAAACGAATTTGACAGAACGTTGTACGTAAGATAATACCGTCTCGGAACCAGGCGGCCATTGCCGGTTCCACGTCCATGCAGACGCCGCAGCGTGTCGATAGCACGATGCGATTCATGCTGCTGCCGTCGAAATTGCTGAGAAATATGTGGCCGTCGACGTCTGTGATGGCTAGCAACGGTTCCGTAGATGTTGGACTCCAGTCTATCCACAGAATCGGCCGATTTTTCGGAAGCTTCACCTCGTGATCTAGGGTGCGAGTATTAGAGTCACTTGCGCGTGAAAAGTGGAGGATTTTAAAACGACGTCGGAAATGGGTGGATTTTGAAAAATTATCAAATCATTGGTAGACTACGAATTTTCGTGAAAATTGTGAAAAAGTAATCAGTAATTTAAATTGTTATCAATAATTTAAATTGTAAACTTTGTAAGAAAAAATACTTAGTTGAGCCTTTATTTAAACAGTTCAGTGTTCGTTTTTCTCGTTTGTTTGTTCCCGAGTAGACAGGAAAGTAAGGATACAATTGTCCTCGAAAATTGTAAAAATTCAAGTAATTTTGAAATATTAAAAAAATTTTTTTTTTTCACCAATTAGATCCATCGTTGACTTGAAAATTAAAATCTTCTCTCTACAACGACCTCTTAAAACTTATCGTACGATTTTCTTTTCATCACCGAATTAGATGACGAAATGTTAGGACTTTTTGTTCAAAATTCAATACAAAATTACGAGTAACTTGCCGTCGTTGCTTCAAAATTTTCACATGAAATTATATTATTAATCATAATATCGTCATATTTTTTTATAATTATTATTAGAACATCTTTCTTCACAATTGCGGTATTTTTATCGAGATAAATATTGATTCCTCTTTAAACAGAGACATGATTGTATAGATCTGTTTGTTTTAATTATTATCATTCACATTGTGATGATTTATATGTAAAATATTTTGATACATTTAGAGATCGATAGTGCTAATTTCAAACTTCGTATTCTACATTTATTTATAATCTCTTACCATCGCTTATCGCGATAAAAAGGGATTATACAGAGATATTACAGAAACATAAATATAAGAAAATATAAATACATAAGAAGTATAAATACATATACATAAAATATAAATACATAAGAAATACATAAATACATATAAATACATAAATATAAGAAAATATAAATACAAGAAATATAAATAGATATGAAGCTTCTTTCAAATTAAGATCTTTACTCAATTTAAATTTACTTAGATCATTGACAAATTTAGATCATTGAGAACTTTGTACCTACTTTAGAATTCTCTTTCCTGTGATCTAGCGCCATATTTGAAAAGAGAAATAATTATAATATTCTGAAGAAAAGTAGCATTACAAATAGAATGTATCATCAAAAATAGAATTGCATCTAAATTCCTCGTTCGTTTCGGCCATGGAAAACATTAAGTAAAGAAAAAATAGAGAATGAAAGCAAAGTATAAAATTGATTCGTGAGCGCATTATACAAATCCGTATTAAACTAAATTTTACTGCAGAAATTTTGCTGAATTTCCATATTATAGTGGAGAAGCAGAAACCAGCCTTACCTTTCAAAATGGCAACTTTTCCAACGACATCCAATTCCCATGTGTACAATTGTCCGCAGGTTTTTCCGAGTTGGCCGACGACAGTGGCCCCGACGTGAGTGATCCTTAATATCTGTCCAACTTCATCGCGTATAAAAGTATTGACGGTAATTATCTTCTCGCCGGTCCTCCAGTTCCACACGGTCATCGTGAACATGGGATACGATCCGATGGAGATCAAGTGATCTACCGGTGTAAATGCAGTGGCCAAGTATCCGGAAGCGCATCCGCCGGTGCACTCGGAGATTTTCGTCATCGTCGGATAGGAGAAAACGAGGATCCTCGGTTGAATGATCTTCTCCGCGAAGGCGAATACAGAGAGTGACTTGTGAGTGGAAAGGCATCGTGCACCCTCGCCGGTGTCGTGGTTCCAACACCAGTGAAATCGATATTCCCTGTGATCGATGTTGAAGAACACGATAAAGATACCGGAACACCAAGCTAGAACGTCCTTCGTTATCCAGACGATATCTTCCAACTTGTTGCACCGTGTCCAAGCGGGCCTCCAGTTATCATGATTCATCTTCTAACGTGAATAACCTTAAAGATCTGTCTATTGTCGCGGATTCGGTGAAAACTAACTCTTAGGAAACAGTTGAAAAAAAAATTGACAAAGTATACTAGGTTCGGCGTTTAAGGTCGATTCACAATGAGGAATCGTCTTTGACGACGAGTCAAGAAGAGAATTTATTTTTGATGACTATTAAATGTTGAAAGATAGTTCGATATTTTATGAAAATTAAGCGAATTTATATGTATTATTGGAATGCTTGTGCAATATCTGCACATTTTTTTGTGGATTTGCAGCTTTATCATCTACTCTCTTCAAAGCTGTGCATTAAATGATTCGGTCCATTGCATTCCTCGAATCGTTTAAACCATTTCTATGCTGTCTTTTGTCAATTTGTTACAATTCAATAGGAAAAGAGAAAAAGAAAGATGGCTAATTCTTTGCCAGAAGCCAACGGAGTCGGCCTCGGAAGAAGAGTTTGGCAGGTTTAAGACAAAAGGTGATTAGGATACGCGCAGTCGATGGTGGTTTATAAAGACCCCCATAGCGTGGCGTGATGAGGTCAAGCAGCAGGGAGTCATCCGTACACCGAGGGCCGATCAAAAACTTATCCTTGCCACGTGATATACTGCCCGTAGATATCTGCCAACCTCTTTCTCCCCCTTTTCCTCCCTCTGTTCGATGACCTGATCTCCTGACTGTCTACCAAACCAACTCACTTCTTGCATCGGTGATGATGGACACGACACATGCTTCGCTCTCGTTTCCGATCAATCGACTTTCAAAATTTCAGCTTTCCACACTTTTTTAGATATTTGGTTCGTTGTTTCGATTCATTGATCATCAATTTACTTTTCCATTCTGATGAAAGCATGAAAAATTTACGCCCACGTGCGAAGAACTTGGGTATAAATTTTGTACTACATAATAAATTTGATCACGATGGATAAATCAGGGACAACGTGAGAGAAGACCACTGGGTACAATGTGAAAGAGATTATATATAAAATAAAGGATACATTGAATAAATTAATGTTTAAATTTTTTTAAATCGAATTAATTAATTTTACTTTAAAAATAATACATAATTTTCTTCCGTTTAATTGAATACATAACGATAGAAAGCAAAAATTGTTTTATACTTGATAAATATAAAAAGATTATCTATAAGAATCATTTATAGAAGTTACATATTATGGTACAATCAGAATGGGAATTAAAGGCTGTTATAATTTTAGCAATATATTACACGAAAAGAATATGTCAAGCAGTTTAAAATAGATTCAATAGATTGTAAAAATACATACCTATCCTATTTAAACTGCACAACCAAATAAATCAAATTAAGATACGATTTCGGTAATATAGAATTTGAGATTTATCGAACTGATATTAAATATGAAAATTGCTTTTCACTAAATATCAAATTTGAATTTTACAATTGATTCTTGAATTTACTTATCATTTTCACTTGTCTTTGACAGGAAAGTGAAATCGCAGAGCATAAATATTAAACTGCATTCATATTCCACGGTTTTTTTAATCCACTTGCAATTCTATACGAATAAAAAAAGTATAGGTAAAACGCACATGTGGTAGAAACATTTTCCATCTACTACTATAAAAACTCATTTTGTGGTAAAAATCTCCAATGTATCAATTCATATTCTAGCTCGATGAGACTTTAATCTTCGAAATTTCTTAGATAAAAGATTCAGCAATTTGCAGGACAAATTGCTCGAAAAGCTCAAGGGGAGGAAGAAAATCGAACGTCCATCACTAGCAAAGGTCAAACAGTATATGGTATATTGCCTGCTTGCTCCTCCACTTTGGAGGATCCATTGCCACGGAGATGCGTGGCCCGCGCAGTTTGCGGTGCCCGAACCTGTGCCCTCGCCATTAAATCGACGCCCGCTGTGACTCGTATTTGCATAACCCGACGCGATGCTATCGACGTCCCCGCGAGTGGTTGCTTCGTCCGCGGTTCGCGCGACTCCCGTGGGAACCACCCTCCATCCTCTTTCACTGCGCCATCGAGGAACCTTGCTTCTTCCTAAGTTTCCTAAAACCAATTGAAATTCGACATCCTTCCATTCGGTTACAATTCAGTGTTACGGATATACAGTAGATTAGAAGCTCGTTTATGTCGAAGATATTGGGGAACAAACCAGAGAAGAGTTCGGATAATAAAGCTTTCTCGATATTCTACTTTCATTTGTTTCGATAATAATACGAGGCTCGTATCGTATTTCTTTACCGACAAGAGAAACCGAAAATTTGGAAACTCATGGAAACTTTAGAAATATGTGGAGCATACATGTGAGTTGTGCAATCTTGTTAAAAATTCCCCTATTAAAAAATAGAAAAAAAAATTTTCAAACGAAAGTTACTTCTTTTAATTGGAACTATTATGCAAAATATTTATCAATTATTCACAAGGTTTGTTGTGACAACTAATTATAATCGATCAAGAAAAAAAGATATATCATGTTTTTTCTGAATTTTCAAGTTGAGGATCTTCTCTTGTAGATTTTCCAAAAGATGAATGTTATTCTATAATGTTTACTATATAATGTAATTTAGTACTTAGTAATGTTCACTATATAACGTTTAGTGTTAATTAAAAATCAACGTAACATTAGAAATTTGTCTAATATCCTTGAAATTACAGGATTTAAGTAGAAGGATACAATAACAAAGAATATCCATTATTATCGATTCTACGAATTAATTGAAAAAATTGCAAATTTGTCTTCAGTGTGTTAAAAACTTACTAAATAAGACGATAGTCGAGTTATAAGATAGTTAATTCGCTATCGGTTCGAAACAAAAATAGTTTCATCTGCATTGCTCGTTCGACAATGAGCACAGACTCGAGCGTTAATTACGGCTGTCGAGCAATAATTACCGGTTCAATCAATGCAACCGGAGATCACGCGGGATGATAAACCGCGAGGTCGAGAATAGATTTGCGATGGTTAGTTTGTTCTTAGTTAACTTGATTCCAGATTACAATTCTCCCTTATTTATCAATTTTCTCTCTTTGCAACTCTCTCGCTGTTTAATTGCCGATCCAATTGTCGCGGAAATTTCTTTCAAGAGGTGCGAAAAACTAAGTGTATCGGTTGAGAATTAAATAACTAAAACGAATCTGGTAAAAATTATCGTGATTCACGCAACTATAACAGTCCGTATCTTTTATTTAATTGAAATTGGAAGAATGAAGAAGATGAAGGGTTGAAAGTGGACCAACATATCGATGAATTTATTTTTTTCTTTTTCAAACAAATTGCAATATTGCATGTATGTTTTGCAAGTGTATCTGTAATTGTTTTAGATGAAACTGAATTCTTTCGTCATTCTGCGTAAAAAATATTGTACGGTAACGTAATTGAAAAATGAGAAGAATTGGTGGTTTTTCAGAAAAACATCATATATTGGAGATGCATGATCACCAATTTTTCTCAAGACTGTCGTCGTCAAAGTCAAGTCTGAAATGATCGGAAGATCTTTTAAATTTTATTTCGTAAAAGATAAGGAGGCATCTAACGTGCTTCTTAACTCTTAAGTTCATTTTTCTTGCCTTTTATATAAATTTACTAGAGATTAAAATTAAAATACTTTTCAGATTTATCAATTTTCAACAACGTTAATTTAATCCTTTTTTTATATAGAATAACTAGAATATTTGATGTACATGAAGGAGAGGAAGGTTTCTATTTAAAGAAACAGCGCGAAATGCACATATAAAATACATAGGCTGTTCAACTTGCACTAGAAGACATATCCTAATCGCAAGTCTGTACTTTTACCTAGTAATTCATATGTTTCCTAATCTCAACCAAAAAAAAAAAAAAAAAAAAGATATAATTCGTTATACTTACGTGGATTAGCTTACATATAGTCAAAGATTAAACGAGTCATCGTAAAATTCATTTACCTTATTGATCATCGTACTTTTTTCTCACACGTTGGTGTTTACACTTTGGTAAAATTAAAATTTTTCACATTTGACTCGAGAAAGGAAAGAGAGGGTAAAAGGTGAGAAAGGGAAGAGCAGAGCGATGTTCTCGTCCGCAAGGGTCCGGCGATGCACGCAGCAGCACGCGTGCGTGCGATGGCCATCGGCACTTCACGGAGCCAGGGATGCAATGGTCGTCGGTACGCGTCCGGGCGCGGAGTGTGGGAACTCGGGGTCGAAACGGAGAGAAACGGCGCAAAGGAGAGTGCGACGAAAGGATCCGCAGGAAGGAAAAGGAAGAAAAAAGAAACGGCGCGCATCGTGAACCCAAAAGAAAATGAGAGGAGGAAAGGACGGATGGACGAAGAGTTCAGACAAGGACGACGAAGAAGAAGAAGACGACAACGACGACAAAGAGGAAGAAGGGAAGGATGAAAAGAAAAAAGGAGCAAGCGACGGAGAGTAACATTTAATCAGAGCCCACGAAGTGAAGTGCATGGTACAAGCGTATGTATATAGAAGCGGTGTATATGGTTCGGTTAGTTTTTGCTTGGGAGGTTGCTTGGAAATTGGCGCCAAATTAGTAAGGAGGACGAGGCGAGGCTCACGCTGCCTTGGGCTGCGTGACGCGAGACATTAAAAGTAACCTCTGCTCTTTCTGCTACACCCCCGTCCCTCCGCCAAATCCTCTCTGCCCAGCTTTCCCTC